AAATTTGGTGAACGCACACCGGGTGAGAATAGCCACAAGACTCGCCTGCACTATTCTCACTCCGGGTGAAAATAGAGGTGGCCTTTTCATTACGTTGTAGTCTAGACGCAGTAGGCTTGTAGTGGTGGGCCAAGAATCGATTTGGAACAGAACGAAGACAGATCCCAGTGAATATTGCCTCTGAAAAAAAGAACAGAGGTATTATATCCAATCCGATTTTAACCAACGGTTCCCCGCTTAGATACCTAGAAAAATCTAGATTGTAGAGATACTATAACTTCAAAATTCTCTTAATTTTTCTTTTTTTGTATGCATGTGTGTTATACAGCGCTCGCAACTGGGTAAGGTCATATATGAACGCACAGGACAATTAAACATAATCCGTTGCTGTATAATGATAGGAGAATACACATTCCATTCCATTGGAAAAAAAGCCATGAATGAAGGGCAGTGTTTTAGTTATAATGCTCATGACAAGTCCGCTGTACCGTTGCCGACAAAATTTTGAGTGAGTCAATTTTCAAACACATCATGTACCAGTTTTGTCGACAAGTTGATAAGTTATTATTAGCTACCGAAGTCCTGCTGTGTTAGTTGTTTAGACTAACTACCTAGACTGACATTTCAAGAGCATTATATAACTCCAAAATGTGAGCAGCCAGCCATGGTATTGCTTCTTTGTACCAATAAAGAAGGAAGTTTAAAAGTTGCTTTCTCTAAAGACCAAACTTGTGTATGATATTGTTTGCTGATAAAACATGTTTTGAAAAATTCAGTTTAACAGAGCTGCCCACACAGAAGGTAGCTTGAGGTGGGGTTGGTGACCTCTGTGTGACCTGGCCAACCGTGACCCAGTCACTCCATCGCTGAGCGAAGTAAGAGAGCGGCGTCTGTACTCCATGATGAAGATCGTGAAGATCATTGTCAAAGAGTGTATCGATCTTGTATTATGCCCTTTTTTTCCACCTTTTTCTGATTATCTGGGGTTTTTTTTATCCCTCTCCTTTCAATTCAATCTAAAAATGTAACGTCTGTGAACGAGGCTCTTTATTTTAAAGGCTCTCATTTCTAATTTCTCGGTGTAGGTCAGTGTTGGTTTTTTTACTTGCACTGTATAGATTGGGCGGGGTACTGCCCTCCCACAATAATCAAAGGGGTCGGGCTACTTGTTACCCGCCAGAAATGTAATTGCAAGTGTCAGACTAATTGTTACTCGCCGGAAGCAGTCACATGTTTCGGACTAATCGCCACTCACCGCAGGTGTTAGATGAATCGTTACTAGCCGGAAGTATTTGCAGGGTCAAACTAACACGCTTTGCCGTATGTAGTCATGATACTGGCTTGGGTTTGGAACCACTGGAAGAAATTACAGCGGTGGCTGTACTGAAAGTAATTGCGTTTGGACTCGATTCTTATGATTCCTGGCTTTCAATGATCGGGAATCTGCGACCGAAAATAAACAGAATTGCCCACCTCTATCCAGTGGTCTCACAGTTCGAGATTGCCAAATATAATAGCTCCCTTGAGAAGAATCTATCGTGATAACTAACAGGCCTACAGTTGGCAATGTACCCTATCTCTGCATTGTATATATATGCAATTTGGTGATCTTGTAGTTCCGTTCGTTAAAGTCCACAATCCATTTGTTTTCTTCCAGAGAAGAAATCCGGAAGTCTTGATGACCAAATAGGCAACACAAAGAACAGGGAGGCAACCTAACTGCTAAACATCAAATTATGGTTAAAATAAAATTCAGGGGGGCATGCCGCCCTGACCCCCCCCCCCCCCC